TGCGCGTACTCGAAATAACGCGCATATACTCAAAATAACGCGCAGGTGGGCGTTATTTCGCGAAAATACGGTAACCATAAAACCTAATCTAAATTCAGCCACGACAATAAATATATTTCACGATCATTTTGATATGACAGCATAATGCTGTGAAAATACAAAAATTATTCCGGAGACATGATGTCATCAGTAAAAATTTTAATCACGGGCATAGGAACCGTGAAATATCAATTACAAATATATACATATATATATTGTGTACCATTCATCATTTTGTAAGCTTGTCTTTTGATTAGGATTCTTTTCAACAATGGCATTACAAAGATGTGCCCCTTAATTTCACGAGGATTTGTGGCTTTGTTTATCCGATTAAGTATAAAAGTATAATTTCAAGGATTTCCAAGTTTCCTAATTCAAAAAATAATGAACGATAGAACTGAAAAAGAAGTTGCAAGAGAAGTCCACACTGCATTATATTCAAAGAAAAAAAATGCACAAAAAAGTGTAATCAAGACATATTTTGATGTAAATGCTGGTAAATCATCACTCTCTTTGTAAGACAACGAGCTCGACGTGATTTAAATATAGATACAGATAACTTCGTCCACTTTATTGATACATTATGTATATTTAATTTAAATGTTAATATAAAAGAATAGATTGGACAAAATTTAATTTTATTGATTACACAAACAAACTGTATCACTGCTTACTACACAATCAACAAACGATCATTTATTTTAACATTCATTTACATTTTCTCACAAAAGTTTTCGAAGATCCGCTCGTCAGTGTCCAAGGTCACGACAATATAATCCGTCAGTTCCTTCTTCTGGCCACGATGTTTTTAAACATAACACCAGAAATTCATACTATCACTGATACAGTAGTAGCAGGAAATCACCATATCGTTTGTATTGATGCATTCATCAAATATAGGTTACCTTTAAAACTACTACTGATTCGTCACGAAATAGAATTACGTACAATTACACGATTTGAATTTAATGAGCAACAAAAAATTGTTAAGCATGAGGATATTTGGAGTTTAAAAGATTTATTGGAAAATTTGCCAATTATTGGATGTATTTATTCTGGAATTTGGAGAAGGTGCACTGGACTCGTTACAAATCAATTAGTGATTTTAGCACAAGAAACTATTAAGATTTGGAAGTATGAACCGTAAAAAGAATTAAAACATTTATTTCTTTAATAATTTTATTAATAAAGTGTGAAAGAAATTTTGTTTATATAATTGGCATATATTTACACTAACATAATCTATTAAATTATATTAGTCTAAGGCCAATGCGAAGTAAAATGTTATTAAAATTTTATTCACATTTCCATGTAATAAAACAAATTCTATGCTAATATAGAAAATTTTTTTAATTTTTATAAATACTCGATTTTTTTTTTATCAAGTCCCAATACCAGATGTTTTGACCTTGATAAAACCTCATAGCATCTTGTAAACCACCGGTGATGATACCAACACCAAGTCCAATCATGCAAGCATATTTAATGCTTTGTCTCGGCAATCGATCTATATAAGTGAATAAATAAATTTGTTTGGATAAATTCAACTAAAAAAAAAAAAATCGATCAAATAAAATTAAACTAAAATTTTACATATTCCCGAAACGATCAAAGCTGTAGTAAGTCCGGCTCCACACGAATTCAGAAAATCATTTTCTTTCCTAACTTCATCTAACATAGCTTCCAGTCCCGTGAACGTTAAACATACTAAGCTCGTTTTCATCGCTAAACGTACACCACTTTTCATACCACCAATAATTATTCGATAATTTTTTCTTTTATGATAAAAATACCACCCTCCTTTGGTTGTTGGTAATTTATGAGCATTTTCGGCCAAATATTGTAGTCCAGCTTTTTTTCCTCCTTCGTATGAGCCAAGTATTAGAGACCATGCACCAGTAAAATATAATACTGTAGTTATGCGTTCAGTTGGTGTGAGACTTGCTCGAAGTTTGTAGGACGGTGTTGTGGTTGAGGTTAATATTGAATTTTGCGTGTTATTTGACATAACAGTGATTTGCGATAGTGATATGAATCAAAAATCGATAAATCAAAAAGTTGGCCAAATTGATTTAAAACTTTCGAAGCAACTAATAGCGATAGCGATAATTTAATGATTATCTACACAAGGTAAATAGAAACTATTTAAAGTCCGAAACACGAATCCGGATCGGTCCGAAAAAATTGATTAGATCTGTTTGACCAATCAAATTTTGTAATTCGCGGACACACACCGTTACACAGATTACTTTCTCCTTCGGATAATACTGTAATAATAAATTTTAACCAATTAAAATTAGCACACATAAATCATATGACCGCACATAAAATGACTCGATTTTTATAAAACACGATTCGTATCAGTGCACAAAATTGTGGCATGACGTGTCCTGATTTTTTTCCGGCAATATGTATACAAAACGGAATTTTGGATCTGC